GGGTTTGGGTAATTGTTATTTGGTAGACATATGAGGGCAAATGTGTCCGAAATGATAAAAGATTAAAGGCAAAATAGGGTCAAAATTAAGATTACCTCGGTAATCTTATATTAACACCCCTTGGGAAGGTAATCTGATTACCCCCAATATTACCAACAGTAAACATTATTTGCAATAAAAGATTACGTAATCTTTTATTACTTGACAACCAAATGAGGGAATCTTGAAAATTAAACAAAGATTACAAGATTAATCTTATATCACCCCGAACCAAACGCTGCCTTAGGAATAAGAGCTTAGAAGCAAGTAGGTGGTATTGAGATTGAATGGCTAATGAGAGGCGTGACCTTTGTTTATATAGTAGTCGTAGGATCTTCGTATCCTAGTAGGACTTTGAGTCTATAATGGTAGAGGTTTAGTGAATATGATAGATCTTGATTTGTATGCCTCAATAGGATTAAGAGTCCTAATTCACATAAGATACAAAATCTTAGGCGAATTAGCATGAAACCTAAATAGGAGGCAAGCGTATCAGGGCTTTTAGTGAGATTCTAACCCCTTAGGCTGGGTGTTTGGCCTATGACATGAATTCTGACGTAGGCCCAATCGGAATTGGGCCACGACCTTGGGCCTACATAGTATAAATTACCTGGTTAGGTTTGATAAGGCCCAAGACGATTTTTGGCCCATACAAGCATTATATTACGAATACCGCTAGGCAGATTGCTTAAAAGTATATGGAAGGATGAAGGAAAAAATTAAGCTTGAATCAGGGAGGCTTACTAGTAGAATATGATTAACTTCTGCTACAACTAAGGGGTCGTTTGGATCGAGGGTATATAAGATAACAGGGGTAATCTTCATTTATTTTGCAAGATTCATGTGTTTGGTTTGCAAGTAAAAAATATTACGATAATCTTTTATTGCAAATAGTGTTTATTAGTTGGTAAAGTGGAGAGTAATCTTAGTACCTTGTTAGGGGGTGTTATCAGAATATTACCAGGATAATTTGATTTTTCTACACATTTTGCCCTTAATTAAAAACCATTTCGGACACAATTGCCCTCAAATGTCTACCAAATAATAATTACCCAGCCCCCCTAAATTTGAGAAATTACTAAAACACCCCAGCCACAAAAAAGGTTAAAAGTTAACAAAATACCCCCAGCCACCCAAAACCATCGTCGACCGTGACTCATCACCGTCGACTGTTGGCGTCAGTCGCTGTAATGGTACACGATCGGTAAGATCTGACCAATTGTGCACTAGTAAGGCCTTTTCCTGCTATGGATCACAGATCCATGGCCGAAAATGGCCAAATCTTCTGTTTCTATGGTCGTTTCACGAACAAAGATGTGGTCATGAAACAACCACAAATCTAGCCGTGAACATGCCAGATCTTTGGTCGTGAAATGGCTGTAGATTTGGCCATTTTTCGGCCATGTGTTTGTAATCCATGGCCATTTCTGGCTTTGCCGACACAGGACCGACCATGTACAACCAATCGTGTGCCATTTCGTTGATTCTCGGTGGCGACTGACAGTGGTGGTTGGCTGCTAGCAAAGGCTTAGGTTAGGTGGGGGTGATTTTGCTACAAATTAAAGTTTTAAATGGCTGGGGTGTTTTAGAAAAATTTCAAATGTAGGGGGTTAAAAGAGATTATTCAAAAAATAATAATAAAAAATACAAGGGCAATTTAGTAATCTATATAATATACCCACCCTTTTATCCTCCCAACCAAACATATTATTTACCAATTTATTCGAATCAACTAAACACATTTTCTAAACATTCACAGTAATCTTCAAAGTGATATTGCTTTCCGTTAATATAATATACCCCTATAATAATATATTATATTATCCAAATGCCCCATAAAGGATATATTTCTTTAACGACTCATTACGTACATGATAATTGGGTGTTACAAAGTAAAATACTCAACTTTTGCCATATTCCTCCTCCACACTCAGGGATTGTTTTGGCAAATAAAGTTTTGACTTTCTTACAAGAATGGGGAATTGAAAAGAAAATTTTCTTAATTACTTTGGACAAGGTAAGTAGTAATGATAGGATGGATGATATCTTATGGAACCAACTTTGTGTGTAGAATGTTTTGTTATGTAGGGGTGATTTTTTCCACATGCAATGTTCTACACATATCTTGAATCTTATTGTTAAAGAAGGGTTAAAAGCTACTAGTGTGGCTTTAAATAAGATTCGAGATAGTGTGAAATATATTAAAGGAACTAAGGCTAGAAGAATCAAGTTTGGAGAACTTGTTGTACAAATGGGTGTGAAAAGCTCAATGGGGTTGAGATTGGACGTTCCCACTAGATGGAATTAGACTTTTTTAATGCAACACCTAATTTTACCTCACTAAATTCTAATGCAAAGTCGTGTAGTAGCAAAGAGTAAGTAATGATCTTTCCTGTAGAGGATTTGTGAGTTTAATTAATTATCTACTTCTAACGGGGTTTGTCACGAATTATAAAAAAAAACTCAACAAAAACTAAAAGAAAACTCAAAGCAAACAATGTAAATCAAGCTAATAACGAAAGAGAAATCAATGAGAGAAACAAGATTGAAGGTTTATTTGCCACCACTGGACATGGATTACATATAATAAAAACACTCTTTAACTTTCTACCCTCTTGATCACATCAGCTCAGAAAATACCAAACGTTGATAAGTCTCATCTCTCCTTACTGAGTCATTGAACTAGACACGGTCATAACCCAATTCCCAATTTATTAAATAACTTCGGATATGATCTCTAGATTCAAAGTAATAAAAGCATTAAGTTGCAAGAGACCTACTGAATCAAGGCTAAACTTATATGGTCGATTTAGTTATCTTGAGTGATTACCCCCCATGTATGCAAGCATACACTTTACCACTAGTTATTTAGGTTAATAAAGTGATTCCGTACTAAACAACCTGAATTGGCATTAATAGATTAACTCTAACGATTTAATTGGCCACTTAAACAACTAGAACAATCTAGTTAAACCCTATTTTCAGAGAAATAATCACATAACCAAGAGGGATAAAAAGATAAAAAGATGCAGATTTTATTAATCACAAGACATGTCTAGGGTTTTGAAATCACCCTCAATCACAAAAGAATTAATTCTTCATGAATAAATATGAGAACGTCATTGTATTATTCATAACAAATAATAATAACAAAGAAGAAGAAAAACTCAGTGAAACTTGGTTGGATTAATGGAGTTGATGATGATCTCATCCAATTCTTCCTCCCCAAGCCTTATTTAATTCCCATTTTTCTTCAGTTCTTGAATATCTTTGTTCTCTCTTTATTAAAAAACAATCTCTAAAGTCTCCTCTCTCTCTCTCTCCCCCCCTCCCCCCCCCCCCCCCCCCAAAAAAAAAAAGCCAAAAGATTTCTATTTATATCCCACAAGGGTTAGGGTTTTGTTTTCCTTATTTCTGTTTAGTTTAGGATTCCTAAATCCCCAATTTCCTAGTCAAACATGGAATTTAAAAACCCAATTGCCGTGACTGTGCCCCGGCACTGTTTGTAGCATGGTTGATTCTGGACTAAGTGTGTTGTGGCACAGTGCTACGGCATGGTTGGTTCTAGTCTTGTTGTGCTACAGCACAGTGATGCAACATAGTGTCCAATTCCTCTCCTAACCTTGCATCATTCTTCATCACTCCAGAGATAGTGATTTTTTACTATGATAAAGATGAAATCTGGAAAAGTGTTAAACACACAAACTTTAGACCTTTAAATCAGCTTTCTAACTGTTTAAGAATCATCTCAATACAATATCTACAGATCAAGTTATATTGGAAACACCAAGACATACTCAAACTAGAGCGTAATCTAGAATCTCCTCTTTATTTCAAAGCTCTATAAAATTCTTCAATTCAACTCCGATTCTCAATCCGTTTATTTTTAGTCATCGCAAATTCTCTCGCAACATCATCTCTCATCTGAATATTATTTTTAAGCTTTATTCCCTGAAAACACAACAAAAATACTCGCGATCCCGAAAGTGCATTTATGAAACAATTATGTTAATTCATGCAAATTAATCCTAATTTCCCACAAACGATACCTATAAACCAGTCAGTATAAGTGTATTTTCAAGCACTTATTACCATTGCACATGATTTACTAACACCTCTAGTTTCTACTATAGCATCAAAATCAGTTTTTAGTGCAGGTGGGCATGTATTGGACGAGAAAAGATCAAGTTTACATCCAAGTGTTGTTGAAACCCTTATGTGTGCGAATGATTAGGTGGCGGCAAATTTCAAGCTTCAAAATCATATTGTTGAAGATATATTTGAAGATTTTAAGAATTTAAAAATTAATGAAAATGAAGATGTATAATAATTCTTAATCCTAATTTCTAAGTTTGTATTTGTAATTTATAATTATAACTTATAAGTAATAAAAAAATATTGAAATTCAATTAATATTTCAATGTCTCAACATTTTGTTATATTTCATAGTGATTATATATTTTTTAATTAACATAAATACAAAATGTCACTAAATATAACATATACAATATTTTTATAATAATCATTAATAATAAATCAAAATTTCCATAATCTATAAATATTAAAATTAAATATTTTTAGAAAGTACATGGGCCAACCCACGGCACGGCCCAAGGCACAACACGATACATATCGGGTCGTGTTGTGGGCCTTCAAATTTGGTGGGTTGGCACGGCACGACACGACATAGCACAAATTTTTGCGAGCTTTGACATGGCACGGACCATGACACAACAAACCTTGAATTTTTAGGCAAAGTACAGCACAACACGACCCACTGTCAGCTCTACCCGTACCCAACCCGCCTGCCTGTTTTGCCAGGACTATATTTAAAGGATGAAAATGTTACTTTCCCAGGATATAATGGTGAGATTTAAATTTCAATATTTTCGCGGCTATATTTTTAAGTTGTTTTATTAATTAATTATTATTATTACTATTATTTTTGTTTTGGAAATCCCTCTCCTTAAGAAGAAACAGTAACAGAAGCGCGGAGCAGAGAGATGACAGTGCGGTGGCCGAAACGAAAATGGAGAAGAATGTGTTCATTAGGTCTAATCCTTAGAGGAGGTCGTGGGTTTCGATCAGATGCAGCTCTAGAAGCAATAGCCAAAGCTGGTGAAGACAGAGTACAAAACTTGGTGCTATACAATTACCCATCTTTTTCAGGGGCATTCTCAGCTCTCTTTGCTCATCTCTTCCACTCTCGGCTCAATCTCCCTTGCCTTCTCCTGCCTTTCTCTTCAGTTGAACCCTTCAGGTTACCACTTTTTACTCTTCACCGTCTTTTCTTTTTCTCTTTTCAAGTTAATCTTGTTTCTGCATCAATATTTATAAATTTGCTTACTTTAGTTGCTGCAATTGTTAAAATGTGGATAAATATTGAAAGTTTAAAATTTGTTGATTGGGTCTTAAGAAATTGGTCAAATTTTTCTTTATGAAATTGACAAGAGTGTAAATGTAAGCCTTGTTGTTTGTGTAAGTGAGAACTTCCATATTCTGTGACTGTAAAAGTTAACACTCTTTTATTTATTTATTTATTTTTATCCTTTGTTTCTGAGCAATGGATTAATTCTTAGACTGCTTACTTTTTTATTGTAGGGTTGAAGATTTGTGCATTGATGGGCTTGAGAGAGTTTATCTCCTTGATTTTCTTGGTCCAAAAGGATATGCTGCACAACTTGCACAACGAAATATATGCGAGTAAGCTAAATTTTATGAATTATGATACCACGATGATAATTTTTTCTTCCTAAAGTGTTTTGAAGATGCGGATTTGATCATATTTTGATTTGATTAACTTAGGGTGATTGGCTTCGATCATCGAAAATCTGTACTTCCACATATTAAAGAGGATCATCCCAAGAAAGTCACATTTTATGCTGACCTTGATAAGAGTAGCTCCACTGCTGTATATGAATATTTCTCTTCCAAGCTTGTAGAGATGAAACCTGTTGAGGTAGGTTGATAAATTTCCTTTCACTTTGAAAGAGTTGATTGAGATGTTATATATGAAATAATCTCTCTTAATCAAAATTAGGGGGAAGTTGCCAGTTTACTGAATTCAGAAGAGCAGGATCGTCTGAAAATTGTTCTCAAGTACATTGAAGATATGGATCTTCGTCAATGGAGCTTGCCAGACATAACTGCTTTCAGGATTGGGCTAAATGAATGGCACTCAAAGTTGAATTGCATTACTAATCCATATATTTATGAACAGGTTCAGTGGTTGGAAATTGAAGTTTTTCTTTTTTTTTCTTTTTGATGGTTATTTTTGAGACTGGTTAATGTTATAAGTTTTATATTATGTTCAAGATGATGGTTAATTGGCTGTTGATTGGGACAGTTATAATAGTTATTGTTTGAGGATGGTGATGGTGATGGTGATGAATGCATTATATGTATGTGGCAGGCATAGATAGTTTGTGCTAATTTAAAATAATGAGGGTGATGAAAACAATAGGTGGCTATTCTATGATGATGAGTGAGAAGTCATACAAATAAATTTAACCTATGAGCATGTTTCACATTGTTGAGCATAATCCTACATACCTTAAGATGATTGCTAGGTTATTATGCAATTATTTATAAATAGGCCCAAAGGATAGCTAGGCTCTCAAAACATGCATTCCTTTGTCACTTAAGTTGTTGAATCTAAAGGTGGGGATCTTGGGATGAGTGCCACTGATATTCTCTGCACCACAGATCTCTATATATCGTTTTAATAGAATGAACTATGTCATAATGTAATTGTGAAATGGACCTGAGGATGATTTATTTTATTTTGAATTATTTCTCTCCCTTCATCTACGTTTGGTATGATCTCAATTTATTGTTCATTGCTTAAGTCCTTTTAATTTCTTGTATTTAGCAGTTATTGGAGATAAGTGCCACCGATCTGATTTCAAAGGGAAATTCCTATATTTCTGCTCGCCAAAGTGCTGCAAATAAGTTATTGGATAAGGTTTTTAGAGTTTGGCTGGGCAGAGGTTTTTATGGAGAATGCCTGGTAATTAAAAGTTGCAATATTTTGACTAGCAGTCCCTTTAATACATTTTTTACCAAAACACGTCTGGTTTAGTTTTGTGATTTGGGTTTGCATGGACCATTTTCTTACTCAAAACATGAGATATTATATGCTTCATGCTCTTTGCACTTGGTACATTTAATACTTGACAAACACGTTGCTTTCTTTTTCTTTTCTCATTCTCTTTCTTCTCGTGTAATATTCCTTTTTAAAGTTATTTTTCCCTCATTATTCTGGTTGTAAGGCAGTTAGAGCTGATGGGAGTTCTAACTTGAGCGATGAAATTGGCAAGCAACTTAGTGTTAAGAGTGCTGCAGCTGGACTGAGGTAATTTTCCTTGGATTCATTCTCTCCTAGACCTCATTAGTTCATCATAAAAGGGTATTTGGAGAATCCATACAATAGGAAACTCAAGTTCGAAATTGGGGTCTGACCCTACAAGCTTTGTGAAGCATAAAACCTGTAGCTTTTTGTCAAGTATGTGATCTAAAGGAACTGAACCACAGATTTTGTGCGGTAAACACATGCCTGGCCACTCAATCAACCCTTATTAAAGGTTTCCTCTGAACTGTTAGGTTAGCTTTTAGATTCATCAATGACCCTTAGTTTATTGTAAGATACTCTGGCCTTGCTGTATTCAGAGCTGTGGTTGCAAAAGCCAGTTAACCTGAAAGGCATCAATCACATAAATATCATGTTGACACCTGTGCAACTGAAATATTATTGGGTGCAAAAATAAGTGTCCCCTATGTCTATCCAATGCCATGAATGAATTGTTCCTTCTCTTAGAGTTAGTTTCCTTCCCAACATCATAAAGGTTTTGATCCATATTTGAATTTTTAATTTTGATTCATAGGGTTAACTTCAATTTAAATCAGTTAAATTCATGAAGTGGATTCATTCTTAAAAAGGAAAATCATGGCTTTTGGGATGGAAACCAGTCTGGTCCTTATCGTTGTTCAAACTGAATACACCAGAGTTAGATTAATTGGCAGGGTTGTCAAAGTTTCACCTGTGGGTCATTTTTAAACCCCTAAACTCTGTATTTGGCCTATTTTATTGGAGGTTTCTATATTTGTTAGTGAATTGTGACATTAGTGTAATTTTTGGCTTTCAGTTTCAAAAGATTTCCAAGAGAATTCATTCATCTTTATTCATTTCAATTGAAGTGGGTCTTGGGCTGATTTTGTCTTGTCTTTTATGTAGTTTTTGGGGCTGTTTTCTTTGTCACCTGTGCTTAGGCCAGCTTTCTTTTAACACAGCCTACACATTGAGTGGGCTAGGTCCCCATGGCAATCTTGATCATTTCCTTGCTCGTCCCATTGATTCATTTATAGTTATTGGTTGTTTCTTTATATCTTCTATGAAACTCTTTCTTGCTCGCCAATTAACAATGCATTGATGATTTCAGGCCCGTAGGAGCTGTTGTATACATGCAACGTAATAATCTTAAGATGTGCTTGAGGAGTACTGATAGCACTACTGATACTTCTGAAATTGCAAAGGTGTGGAAATTTGAGTTAATAGTACTACGTATTTTACATTAAATTTATATTTTTTTGGGATAAACTTGTAACCCAAGTAATCCTTGTGTCTTCAAATTTTCAGGCTTATGGAGGAGGTGGCTCTGCTAGTTCTAGCTCCTTTATCATAAGAATGGATGAGTATAATAAGTGGCTTTTGGTAAATAAACCATAATGGCCTCAAGGTGCGACGTGTCTTTTTGGTAGATTACCATGCAACCTCCTTTCGCAACCATTTCGTTTGTAGTATCATATGATGATTTTCATCAATGAATACATATTAATGGTAGTTGAAGCCTAAAACTTATATGTGATATTAGGTTCATTTTGTTGTATTATTAGGATTAGAAAATAAAGAAGAAAATAAAATGAAAGAAGAGTTTCTAGAATAGGTTTACATTGAGTTAACCTACTCATATGTACCATGTGAGAGACTAACGAGAGATTTTACAAATGATTAACTAAGAAAACTTGTTACTTCGAGCATTAGTACCAATGTTTTAATAACCAACCCAGGGTGAAACCTAGCAAAGTTGTCGGGTCTCGGGTTGAGTGATTTAATCGGTTTAATCGGTCGGTCAAACTGGGTTGCCAAAAGTTTAAAATTAAGCAAATACACCCTTGAAATTACAGTCTAGTTTTCGTAGTTTTAAAACCTGGACCGGACCGATCGATCCAATTGATTCGATTGGGACCCAGTTGTGTGTCTGGTTCGGGTTAATATAAAACCCTTTTATATTTAAAAAACCGTTTTAACCCGCCATTAGATCGGGTGAACAGTTTAAACCGCCCAGTCCAATCGGACCGCTGGATAAATCGGTTCACTATTTCACAAGTAAAAAAAGCCCTAAATCTATTCATTTTTTTTTTTTTCAGTTTCTCTACGCAGCCACTCTTTAAAATCACCCCTCAATCTCAATCAACTCCATTCTTTGAAGTCTGAAATCGCAACCATTGTCTCAATCGCAACTCTACTCTCTAAAATCAACGACACCTCCCTCCCTCGCTGGAAATCGATGACGAAGCCTCCCTCCTTGCTCGACGACGACAACGACGCCTCCTTGCTTGGCAACGATGATGATGACGATGCCTCCCTCTTTGCTCGACGACAACGACGCCTCCTTGCTTGGCAACAATGACGATGACGATGCCTCCCTCTTTGCTCGACGACGACGCCGCCTCCCTCCCTCCCTCGTTGGAAATCGACGACGACGACAATTGAAGGTACTTCTGGTTTATTTGATTCTCTTTTTCTAGATTCGGAAGTATTGTTTTGATTATTTGATTGGAAGTTTTGTTTTGATTATAATGCTTGGTTTATTTGATTGGAATTTGATTTTTTCTTCTTTTTTTTTGGTAGAATCCTCTAGATTTGGAAGTTTTGTTTTGATTATTTGATTGGAAGTTACATAATTATTTTACTCAAATCTGGAAGATAATTTGTAGGTACTCAGATTATTTGTGTGTTCTCCCTCTGGTTGAATAACCCAGATTTGCCCAAACCTGAGAATAAAGAGATATAATGCTTAAATTAAAAGTTAAGGTGCCTTTTGGAATAACATTCTGTTTCTGCATTTCAAGCATGTTATAATCTACAAAAGTTTTTATCAATTATAAATTTTTGGTGGAGTTATAACATCTTATATTGTATGTTGGGATTATTGCTAAATCATGTTTGGATTGTTATTGAATTTGAATTATGTTGGTGTTGTAATTAAGCTGTTATTGAAAATTTAAAACTTGTTCAAAAATGAAAACTTTGGATTTTTTTGGAAGTGTTGATGTCATCATGCTGACATCAACATGGTGACGTTATCAGTCCAACCGGGTCCAACCAATCGGTCCAACCGGTTGGACTGGTCGACCTGTGACCCGGGCAGCAGAACGAGTTGTCCTCCGGTCCAGGTTTTAAAACAATGTTAGTTTCTACAGGTTTGAAATTTATCTAACACATCTTTTATACAAATTGGTGGTCAATTGGTTGGCGGCGATGATACATTAAATGCAATCTCAATCATCTCCTATGTCATTCCCCAGAAAACCTATCCAAGATCTGGTTGAAATCGGTTCAATTTCGGTTAGATCTCATCACTATCGGCGTCGATGACCCAGGACAGATCTCACCACCGTCGACGTTGACAACCTTTCCCATCTCCATGAAAATACTCCCCTCGACCTCTTGACTAAAACCTTTTTCACCCAACCCTCATTCGCCTCTCTAATCGCTAGCAAAAGCAGATTGTTGCTGCCATGAGTTTTTCTCGATTTGCGATTGATTCACTCACTAGAAATCACCTATGTCGCCACCATTGCACTCATTGACCCTTCCTCTTCAAAAGCTTCAACATCTCAGCCTTAAATTATTCTTCAATCACTGTCCCAATTTCTAGGATCTTTGGTGAATACGAAAATTGCTTACCTAGCTCGGTAAAGGCCTCGTTTCTTGGTTGAACCAATTGAACCGACTGGATCGGGTCAAGTTTTAAAACATTGATTAGTACTACTTCAAATTGACAAGAGATTTTGTGAAGCTTACCGTTTGGTAAAAATATAGCCAAACTACACCTTAGAGTAATTATCAGGAAAATATGAAAAAGTTTTTGCATGGAAAGGTCTCTAATGAATTGGCAACTAACCTTTATAAACTTTTTGTGCTTCTAAAACAATTAGCAACAATTGAAAACCAGTCATTATCAGTGCACTGGCATTGGAGTCTAAACATGAATACCCCATTTATTCAACAATAGAGTGAACCCACAATTTGTTATCTACAGTATAGGCAATTAGGAGTTTGCAAAAGAACCGGCCAGAATCGACTGCATCTGGGGTTCGATTTCGGTTCTTACTTGGAACTGGGTCACAGGGTTGGTTTTGGCTCTAAAAAAATTGGAATCGACACTGTGCGGTTCCGGTTCTGGCTCCACTCGGTAGGAATCATGAATCGGGATTGAGATAAAATAACATAAAAATCTGGGGGGTTATAAAAACTTTACAATTGAAATTTAAGGGTGCGTTTGGCTCCCTATTTTTATCCATATTCGCAATCCTATTCTCCAAATAATGTTTGGCACATTATTCTAGAAATATTACCCTATTTTTTTTAATTACTTTTAGACCCCATAAGGTTATTAATTTCACTAAATGCCCCCTGAATTTTTTTTTTAAAAATTAACAAAAACCCCCCCATCAACCCAACTTGTCAAATTCCGGCAACCACCGCCGGTGATAGCCGGAATCTGTACAACGGCCTAAATTTCGACCATAAATGGCTGGAATTACACCGATCTGGCCTTTTCCGGTCAGATCCACCACGGATCTGGTCGAAAAAAGCCAGATCTGGCCGTTAGCGACGGCCAAAGAAATGGCCGTCGTTGACCGAAAATGACGGTGCCGTCGTTTTGGCCTTTCCGGCTGTTGACGGCCATAACAGGTCGTAGATCTGGCCTTTTTCGGCCAGATCCACCAGCCAGATCCGTGGTGGATCTGGCCGGAAAAGGCCATAATGATGCGTTACGGCACAAATCCGATCGGTCTGTGCCGTAACGAAATTTTCCGGCCAGATTCTGGCGGTGGCGGCCGGAATCTGACACTGCAGGTGGTGGGGGTGTTTTTGTCATTTTATATAGTAGGGTCTTTAATTAAATTAGTAAACCTAAGGGCTTTTTCATAAATTTTTTAAATTTACCTCGTAATACTCCTCTATCCAACAATCTAATACTATCCTCAAAATCCTATCCAAAATACTACACCAAACGCACCCTAAAATATTCAAATCTTACACAAAATTTTACTTATAGTTGTTATTATTGGTCATATAAATCTAACTTCACAAGTCTTTCATTTGTACATTATTTCAATTTATCATCCACCTTTAATAATTAAATCTACTTGTATTTGGACATGAAACATTTTTGCTATTTCGCATTCATAAAAATACTGAACAAAAATGCTTCAGCTCTTTTTCCACCCCTATTTAGTAACAACCTCTCTAAACCATTTCGCCGCTTCCGCCCTCTTAAATAAATTATAAAGCTTCAAGTTTCAATTTCAACTCAAATATACGTATACACAATCATAGAAATTAACAAAAATCCACCATATTTGACTAACTCTTTTCAAACGTAATACAAAGATGCGAATTGGAAAACATATGTTTATAGAAGAAAATTAATAAATAAATAAAACAAAATAAACGAAAATTAGATATTTGAGAGGAACCCGATTCCGCAAATGAACTGAAGTAGCAAAATTGCGAAGTCTGGCCAAGTTTTTCCATTTTTTGAGTTTAAGGTGTAGGATGATGTAATTTTTAGTTTCAAAGAGGTCGTTTTGAAATTTGTAATTTTAAATTTGTGATTTGTCAACGGATTATTGTAATTTGTAATGTAAAATTCTTAGTTTTTATAAAGTTGAATTGGAGGTGGAGACATTGTTTTAAAAAGGGGACTGGAGGGCAACCCGCTCTGATAGCCAGGTCACAGTTTAATCGGTCCAACCGGTTTGACCGTCGGTTGGACCAGTGACGTCATCACACATCATGATTATAGTATTTCTCTCTTCAAAAATATTTTAAGAAGTAAATCCCACCTAAAATGTATAGTATGTATATAATTTCCATTTTTTTTCCTCTCATTCATTTAGTATATAACTATATATATAAATTATAATACAGTACTAACATTATAAATACTATAGCTGACTTAAAAAAGGTTTATAAGATCGCTAAGTTATAATCGAACAAATGAAACGTTTACAATATGATTAGGTTTTTAGGACTTTCAATCCAAAAAAATTACGCCATCTGTCTGAAACTTGAAAAACACTTACTAAACATGCACTAAGCAATGAAAAGTGGTGGAGTGCTCATGTAAACCAGCTGCTTTGCTATCTTAAGAAAAGAGATCAATCTCCTAACAATTAATTGTTCATAAAGGATCTCTTTCGTATTCGCCACATGTCATCTTCAACCCAACTAATCACCATTTAGACATCAATTAATTAGTAGAAATAATCAGAGATTTTGCGATTACAATCAAAACTCAAAAGTTCCATATCTAGCCACAGTCAAGCCTACACAGAATACTACGATTACAGTCAAAAGTTCTATATCCAGTCACAGCCAAGCCTACACAGAATATTACGATTATAGTCAAAAGTTTTATGAAGAAACAAATGACTAAAATCCAAGA